TCTCAAGCCAAGGAATAGTCCGAGTATTGTTTAATTTTGTGAGGAGAAAGAACTTATGACATCGCATTTATTATTTTAATTCTATATTTTATACATTCCGTTGTCCATTTGAGATCGAAAATTTAATTACATATCCTACAATTCCTATGTTTTTTAAGACAATTAGAACTCGAACTCAGCACCCTAGAATTCCATACTTTGTTTGCAACCAATGTGCTATACATTTGAGCACATACGTAACAACTAAGTTTTGATCTTAATAGTATTTTTGATGTGGTGATAAATATTTAGATGTTATACAACTAAATATTAAGGTTTAGATGTCAATATCTAAATACATAAGAAATGTGTGGTCTGTATGTAAACCCCCTTGAAATAAATGCTTTAATTGTGAAGTGTGAACAATGACTGCACTAGAAAAATGTTTAATAATCATCACCTCATTACTTTACTTTTCCTTAACACAGATCAAACTCTTTGATCGTCGTCTTCTTAATAGAGCTGTCCAATCATATGAGGGCCACGTGAATTCTCACAGCCATCGGCAACTAAGTGTCAATTCATCCGAATCATTCCTGCTGTCAGGTTTTTATTTTTTATTTTTAAATATTTTTTCGTGATATCTCTTGTTTGAGTCATGCTAAACTCCCTCTCCAAATAGGGTCACATCATCTGTTATGATATATTTTATTAAAAATTGCAAAAATATAAGATTTTGAACCCAGTTATTTTATTTAATGCGCATTTACATACATACCACCCAATTTCTATGTTTTTACAAATCTAACACCTAAATTTTACTTTTTTACACTTTTACGTCCTAAATTTTTCATATCATATACAAAATATTACCATTGAACTTTCATAAAGTGAAATGTATCTTTTCATGCATAACTAAACAATTGAAGTTTAGGAGTTAGATTTGTAAATACATAAGAATTGAGTGGTATGCATCTGAATCTCCCTTTATTTAAATGTAAAATGTTCTTATGGCTTGGAAACAAGTACAAGGGTCTATTAAATATAGAACTTAAAGAGGCAATAATAATGTTTCATTAGATATAAAGTTCTTCATATTCTTGAAATCTTATTAGATTTAAACCTCACTGCAAGCAACCTTTTTGTCTGTTATATTACTTTCAGGTGGGGAAGATTGCTTTGTGCGAATCTGGAGTATCAAAACCAGTCAGTTAATCTTGCAAGAGAACGTCTCCAATTCCATCTTCTCGACCGTTTGCTGGCCTTCTTATGGAGACATCTCATATGGTTCGCATTTTATCTCTTCCATGGCTCATTTGATTTTTCTATATTATTTTTTGGAAAAAAAATGATGAAATTCCTCAGATATACCCCATTTTTGTTAAAATTGTTTGTAAGAAATCATAATTCAATTTAAGCATCATGAATTTTCGGATAAATTCCTCAAAATAATAAAATTTAATTGAAAATAAAATCATCTTTTGTGTTCATTTTTGTAACTGTAAAAATCATATTAGCAGTGATTTTCTTACGAGAGACTTTTGGATTGGAATATTCTGTAGCAAATTTGATGAGAAAGATTTACATACATACAACTTAATTCTTATGTATTTACATGTCTATGAAAATGATCCTGAGGAAGGACTCATTTTCTAAACTGATTGAGGTATTCTTTTAAAATGCTTGTTAAAGAGAAATTAACCTCTCCTACCAGTGACCTAACTGTCACTTCGTTATAGAAGCTGAGAAAGGAACCAAGCGCCGTCAAACGGACGATACACTCCTCTTAGAAAGTGGTTCGAATGAGCATGAACTTTAAAATTTGTTTCCATGAAGAAGCCAACAATTTCTACCTCTAAAACAAGGCGCAATTCAGTTTCTAAAACTGAACAAGTCGCTCATTCTGTGGAACTGGTATCCATGATAATAAATGCTGAATATGTTCAGAGGCTAATAAACTCTTGTGTTGTTGGATTTGAGTTCCCGTTTCGGGAAGGTTCCGAAAGCTCGATATTATGAGATTGAGCTTAACACCTTCAAAGCTACAATGAGTGGAATTTTATCAAACTACCTTTCTTGGAAGCTAAACAAACAAGGCAAAACTCACAATCGCAGAAATTGAGATTGAATTGAGTACAATGGTATCTATTATCATTGACGCTTAGGTTACTGATATCAATCCCAGGTGCTACAACACAAAGGGGGCTCATGCAAGTGCACGTGTCATATCAGTAATGTTGGATTTTAGAGTCCGAAATGTCGATCCCATAGGGAACGAGGTAATTCTTGTTAGGAATAGTTCTAGCATACTGGTTTTAGTCCTAGCTTGAAATTTGGTTTTTGTTAGTCCTACAAAGTAATCCTAAAGCATCACAACCAAATAAAAATTTTAAGTCCTATAAAAGTAATCCTAAATTATCACAATTATATTGGAAGTGTCAAATACTTGGTGGCTCTTTCTTGTAATGAGTTAAGAGGATTTCATGAAATTGAGAATTGTAAGTAGAAAAGTTTAGTGACAAATATGAGCAATAATCTTTTTTACCCTCTCTCGGTAGCATAAAGAAACTTGGTTAGAAATGAATATATTCTCATAAATCGCATAACTAACCCATTAAAGCATATTTCTCTAACATTTGCATCTCCCTATAAGACATATCCACCTATACCCCATAGATTAATGTGAAAACCTAGTTGATTCTATCATAGACTTTCCCAAGACTTATGGTTCATAATATATTTTAATAATTCATTTGACCAGAATGAAAATTAAATTAAGCCTTGAATGTTTATCATCACCATATAAATTAATTAAAATACTATGAAATTCTCATTCCATCTATCTTACTTAATAATCACGAAGAAGAGTAAAATATCTACTCAGGAAGCATGATAAAAACACAAAATAGATTCATTGAAACAAAAGAGGAACCCACTATCCAATTGCTATGACTGAAAGACAACAAAAAGTACACAAAAATTCTTGGCTTTCCCTCCTTTACAACGACTAGAAGATGAATTAATCAACACCCTTCCTGAATTTCTAGGCTGCTGCTACTGTAAAACTCACCCTGTCCTCTACATTGGATGAAAAAAAAGGGATCTCCACAACAAGCAAAACCTACTAAGTAACCAACTGACATCAATCTCCCATAAGCCTGTAATGTACTGCTATTTATATGCTTTTTAACTTGGCTTCCACGCCTCCTATACAACTCTACTTGATCCCCCACACGTCTAAAGTCCCAATCTGCAGCAACTACACCTGATAGTTTTTGGCGCTAGGTGCCCAAGGGCTGGCGCCAAGTGACAGGCTCTTTGTCTGCTGAAGACTGGACAAACACTTATGCGCCCAAGAGGTTCGGTGCTTAGGCGCCAATTTCGCGGCGACTAGGCGTCCAATGGTTGGAGCCTAAGCTCTAACCTCTCGGGTTGGTAAAGCAAGGATTGGCGTCTAGGCGCCCAAGGGTCCGGCTTCTATGCTCCGGTGCCACTTTGCACCTTTAAGCTACAGTTCACTTTTTCCCACACCAATAAATACTAGCTAACTCATCTACATATCAAAATCTCTCAAACTTAAATGTTACTCGTCCCCAAGTAACACCAAAGCTTAAATATTGAATTGTTAACATATAGGAGTAGGTTTCATGGAAAACTATCTATAATCATACCTCAAAGATCCATAGTTAAAAAAATGTAATATCCCTACTAAATAACTCAATTCCATAAGCTATAAAAAACTTTGCATTCTACAAATAAAATATGATTTCATATATATTTCAAAAGGGAACTAGTAAATGCTAAATAGTGCAAACTATATATCAAATATATAGAATTAAGCTCTCCTTTAAATAGTTTACTAATATTTCATAAACATAAATAAATTTAGGAATGCAGTGGAGTATTTAATTTAAAAAGAATTTTTGTAAAATCAATTTTTAATAAGACTTCTCCTTAATATATTTTTTCATTTAAACCACTTTTTTCATACTTTAGGATGAATGTTTCAATCCTAAGCATAATTCTTTGAGGATTACTATATCTGGATAGACCTTGTAATAATTTTGAATTCTACTAGCAACTCTTTTAATTAAAGCACACCCCATTCTTCTTTTTTTTTAATGTTTTAAAAGTTTAAGAATTATAAAAATTACAATTCTATGGAGGCTAAATTCTTATTAAATATACATCTAAGTGAACCTAGTTTAACAAATATCTAATACTTTTTGAATGTAAATATGCTAATCACTTTTTCATATGCTGAATTGTAAAATTTACTTAAAACTAGTCTGTCTTAATTTAGATAGAGTTTAAATTAGCTAACTATGTTTCTCCTTTTTCAAGATTATTAAAGTTTTATTTTTATTCCCACTTTCCTCCTAAACACAGTTATTTAAATTTAATTTACTAAAGACAAATAATCTCAAGCACCATGTGATTCTTCCCTCTAAACTTAATTTCAAACACTTATCGTAATTTGAGCATGAGTTTAGATGGGGAGATAAAAAACAGTAATACTTCCTACCACATGCTCATATCAACAATGAATCAACAAGTATGTAAAAGAAAGTGATACTGAAATGAACCAAAAATTATACCAAATAAAATTGCACTAGAAAGTTCAAATATTACAATAGAAATATAAAGAGTTCCACAATAAAAGTACAAACTGAGCCAACAAGAATATAATTTAACTACCACAGTGAATAAAATAAAATCTTATGCATCTATACGAAAAGAAATAGTCACTCATCCTCCTCATCGTAATATTCCTCTTCTTCATTATATTTCTCCTCAGAATCCTCCTCCATCGGCTGGCGAGTGTGCTCGTAGAGTTGGTAAGGAGAATACACTGGGAACTCAATGGAATTGTCACCTCCAATCCACCGGTTTCTCCGGTACATCTCCAGCTGAATGGCCTGGAAGTTAGCAAACAGATCAAATTTGCTTTTATTTTGCCAAGCCATATGTGTCATGGTCTGCTAAGTCATAGAACCCTGTCCGTATGATGGAGACGTCATCCTCTATGCTCCCCAATCAATCTGAAATAGAATTCATACTAGTCGATGGATGAGGTCTGAAGTAAAAGGTAGAAGGCTAAGAAGAACTGGCCCCATGCCCAAAAACAGTGTTTTTACTATATAAGCTAAGGTAAGGTTGGTTTTGGAGATATGCTTCAAAGGATGAAGCTGCTCCTCCCAATTCACAAAAGAAACACTAGAATTTTTGGCACAGGGAAAAGATAGTAGATGGGTACCCCAAACAAGAGTAGATCCCCCTTTACTAGCATTGAAAATAGCATAATGGATGAGGGGACCCATGTTAATAGATTTCATAGTCTGGATACAAAAGTTTAGAGGCTCGATCCATAGTGACCTCGCTCAGGTTGGTAGAGGAGAACAACTTAGTAGAAATGAAGTAATGCAAAGCCTTAGAAGCTGCATTTAGCTTGGAAAAGGGAAAATTGATTTTATTTTCATTTCTAACCTCCCATGTCCCTTTACCATTTGTTGGAAACCGGATAATTTCATTCAAGTCAAAATCTACCGGAGTGAAGCTGAAATAAAAACTCTCAGGTACATCTCTCAATGAATATAACACATTAATGCGAGCAAGAGAGAAGTCTACCAGCTTCTCTCTCACAAAGACTGACTTATCGGAAGCCTTCGTAAGATTAGAATAAAATTCCATAACAACCGGAATCACTGCTCCACCAGCATTGTAACAAAAATGCTCCCAATGCGACTCACTATCATGCTTTCAACGGTACTCCCAAGGATTATGAATCCACGCTCCGCAATCAAGTTCTTCGGTACGAAGAAGTCATTGTATCACTCATCAACTTTCGAGCTAACAAACTTCTTTTTATCAAAAGAAGATTATGATTTATTGCCTTTAGTATTCGTGGCAATTGAAATATGCAATAGATTGAGATTACAAAGGGTGAGTTAGGTAGGAATAGATGCCAGCAATATGCTATTCAGGAAGACGAATCAAAGCTCACCAAAAAATTTTAAAATTTTTAACTCGAGCTCCCTCAAGAAAAATCTGAAAGTTTTAGATGAAAAAGGAAAGATTAAATTCAAAGAGTGAAGTTTACCTTATAGAGCTGATTTCCACCCTATAGAATCTCATGTATTAAAGAAGTTTAAAAGAATTTGGAATGACCTAAGAAAGCTCTTTCGGTCGTTGAAGAAGAAATAGGGAGAAAAAATCACGTAAATGAGGTAAACCGGGCCGAATTCAGCTTATAGACATACAGGTTAAGGGCGACGCCTAGGTGCTGC